GTCTTTGTGTTTTTTCTCTTGTGTTGAGTAAACAAATCAATAAGTTTAGGTACTCGTTATCAAAGTGTCAATTGCTCATTCAACTTGAATGACTGATCCTTTGATTTCAAAATGAAAGCCAAAAAGGTGGCTAGGTGAGTTACTTAACCAAATGGGAAGCCATCAGATGATCTATAAAGAGCTATGAACTATGAAGTTCCTAAGATTTTGAGTGTTAGACTAACAATATCATGATTATAACATATATATTTTATTGATATCTTAAAAATTTATATTATCAGGTTTGGTAACTGAGTATGTAGCTTTGAAAAGAAACTCGTCTGTAAGGTCTCTTCAACTGAGTAAACACATCAATAAATTTAGTTACTCATTATCCAAGTTGGCCTTATTGGCATTTTTAGAATGAAACCAAAACGGTGAAACACAGTTTCAACATGCGGTCATTAAGAACCTAAGTAAATAGGTTGTCAATAAATAATAAAACAATAAACAAAGAGGTTTAAACCAAAACACATTGTACAAATATCCAAGAAAAGCAGAAACAAAGTAAATACGAATAATGAAATTCACTAAGATGTGAACAAGTATGAGACATTTATGGGTGGTTTTATCCAGATATTATACCCCGTACATTGATGCACTTTGTGGGTATGCACGAAGTCCCTCTTCATTGTCAAAGTAGACACGAAGCTTAGGTAAAACGTTAAACCTCCCGAAAATTTCTCATCCTCCCACTTCCGCTTTGTAAGATTTAGTTTAAGATATCTTGGTTGCGTGAGTTCATTCATGTCCGTGTATATAAGGAAGATATCGCCATGATACTCAGTCATAAACCGATAGTATTTTCCAGGAATTTTAGGAGGCGGCCGACGAAGAAGATCCCAAGAATTCGTAGAGAGATCAAACATCCCTAACCAACCCCTTCTGGCTAGTAAATAGAAGACTCCATTGGAGAAAACAACATGTTCGAAACCTCCATATATCCAAGGCAAACGATGCGGGAACTTGAAAGAAGTGCACACTTTAGTAGCAAGACGGTATGTTTTGATGGTGATGGATCCCTCGGTGAAATCGGAGACAGAGAATATTACACAACTGTTCGACGTAGGAGCACATGAGGAAGCTAGTGCAAGACTACTCCCCATATCAGGCCAAGGCAGTCCAATGCGTTCATGCGTAAATGGATTTAAAAAGAAGGTATCTCTGAAATTTCTATGGCGCACAAGTAACCAACCGTCTGTAGAACAATGAATGTGTGAACCGCCTAACACAGGGGATGACTTGCAAATATGTGTTTTATTGAGTGATGGATCGTATAGCTCGTATTCTTCTCTACAAGGGGAACGCATAAGCAATGGTGTCGGGTACTCCCTAGCACGAACGGAAATACAAGCTTCTAGCCATGTTTTGCAAACAATGGAAGCGCGAATGTTGTCTTTCAAAGACAGGCGCTCCAATATTAGTACAGTGAGATCAAAAGGAAGGCTTGAAAAAGTTTGGTTACTTGCCTCTATACACTTCAACTTCTTCATCATGGACAATTTAGAAACCCATGGATAGAGAGTCTTAAAGACTATATATATATATATATATATGTAAAGCTTCCTTTGTCGGTTAAAACAAGGAAAGAAACCGAGTTTCCTTTTATTTTGGTGGTTGTTGAGACCCGAAAGATTTCTTAATTTCCTTTTTTTTTTGGGATTTAGTTACCTTTTTTCTGTGGGATTTGATTTGAGAGAGAAGAGCAAGGATAAATTCGCTGAATAGAGTATTCAAATTCTATTTAAATTAGGATCTGATCATTTATTTATTTTAAGTTTTTTCCATCCTAGAAAATATCGCAAATCGAATCAAATTAATTTCCAAGATTTTAATGAAAAAAAAAAAGAAGAAGCAGGCGATCGTGGGAAATAAAGGATTTTGTGTGTTTCAACTTTCAAGAAGATCGTGGGAAAATACCTTGAGTCGATCTAAATTTTAGTTTGGTTGACTTAATTTTGAGTGGCCTAAAGGCTAAAACATAATAAAAATTTTATTATGTGGCCAATGGTAAAAAGTAACACTAAAATAAAATAAAAAATCAATGTTTTTAAACTCGATTTAGACCGTGAACCGGATTACCTTCCGGATCATCGATGTAGAGAATATAATTTAAAATCATTAAAGTTTTTTTCGTGGATTTTTATTTTAATTTGACCAACATGATAACTACACGGTTGGTGACAAATTACCACATAATTTTTTTTTTTGTCGACACCACACAATTTAAGATAAAAACAATATTTATCATGAATAACAATAGTCGTAAAGTTAACATCCAAATATATAAACCAAAAAAAATGGAATAAACCACTGAATAATGAAAATAAATTAATACCGTATCATATCAATTAATATTATCTCTATCACTATTTTTGTCATATGAATTTGTTCTCAAATTATTTTTAACTGCCATCTGCCGGGTCAACCATTAACCTGGCCAGAATTTTAAAAGTTTTTATACAACAGATCTATCTATTACTCTCTCCGTTTCACAAAGAGTATCGTTTTAAGGTTTTATTTTTGTTTCACAAAGAATGTCTTTTTATATTTTCAATGCAGAATTTTAAACAATATTCCAGTTTTGATTTCATTGATTTAATGTATTAATTAAAAAAAAGTTATTTAATGCATTAATGAAGGGCAAAGTAGTATTTTTAATAGTTTTCTTAATATGTGTGAAAAATGTCAGAATGACACTCTTTGTGAAACGGAGGGAGTATATTAAAACAGAAACATTTTTACAATTTATTTCCAAACATTCTTAAAAATTTTAAAAAAATATTTTGAAGTATTTTTAAAATTATCCTAATTTATTGTAATATTATTTTAAAATACAGTTTTTTATATGTATACTTCATTCCAAAAATTAAGATATTTAATCAAATAACTACAAAACTTCCTTAAATATAGGTAATATTTAATTAAAAATTTAAACTATTTCGTTTTTTGTAATTATATTTAATTCAGAAAAATAAATATCAATTTAAATTACTTTAGACTTTAAGATAGATTTAATTTAATATTTATAATTCAAATAACAATTTAAGAATAACACATGATTCACAAATATATTATTGTACTTTTTAATCATATTCAATAAAAAATTAAAATTTTACATATTAAAATTGATAAATATTAATATTACATAGTAATTTAATAGAACGATTTATGTTTTTTTTATAATTGTGGTTTTATACAAATTAGCAAGATATTAATATAAAAATTATTTCAAAATTAATAAATATTTATATTATATAATAATATGAACGAACGATTTAAAATTATGGTTTATAACCACGGTCTTTTCGGATTAATAGAATAAACGAATTAGAAATATATTTTATAATAATGATTATTTTTATTAATAAAATGACTGGATTAGAATTATGTGTTTATGATGAAAAAAAAAACAAATTATATCTAAATACAAAATAAATCTTATCACTTCTTAAAAAAATTTATCTACAAAAGAACATAAATTACATTTCAAATTTTGATTAACAAAAAGTTCTCGTGTAGATGCATTGGATAAAATCTAATATTAGCATTAAATTTGAACCAGTTTCTCTGCGCATTTTGAGATTCACCGGTCTGACCACATGTCCAAATCGAGTTTCAAAACACTGCATAAAAAAAACTTCAAATCATTGAATAGGTTAAATCATGATTTGTGTGATTCTTATTCACGAGTTTGATTTTCTAAGGAGATAATTACACTGAAAGACACTTTTATAACTCAAATAATAAAAAGAGTAACTTTTAGCTATTGGGTAACTTATTTCATTGTTTACGCTCAAATAACCCGAAATTACCCTTCGTGGATACGATAAGGTGGATTCGAAGAAGTGGATAGTAGATTAAAACTAAAATTTAAAAATAATTATTAGTTTTTCCCATCTGTTTTGTTTTGTATTTTCCTATATTGTGAAAGACATAAAATATTTTTTTTATTAAAATGAGTTATAATTTCATTTTTTCATTGTTTTAAGATCCATTATACTATAGTTTATTTATCAAGCAAAAAAATTTTCAAAAACATATGTATAAATATTTTTAAAAAATCAAAAGTATAGGTAGATATCCACTCCGATAATATGACGTGGATGATGTATAATGGATATACAACATGGACATGATTTGGTGGATATGTTTCATTGATATATTCGACATAGATATACATTTTACATTGTCCATAAGGTGGACGTGGATCATATGGATAGGTTATAAACAATGTAAAATGTATATCCATGTTGAATATATCAATGAAAACATATCCATGTAATCATGTCCATGTTATATATCTATTATGCATCATCCACATCATATTTTATATGTGGATACCTCAATGAAAACATATCCACGCATTCAAGTCCATGTTATATGTCCATTATGCATCATCCACATCATATTTTCTAAGTGGATATCTGCCTAGACTTCTGATTTTTTTTAAAAGTTTTATACATATGTTTTTGAAATTTTTTTGTTTGATAAATAAACTATAGTATAATGGATCTTAAAACAATGAGAAAATAAAATTATAACTCATTCTAACAAAAAAAATATTTTATGTCTTTCATAATACAGAAAAATACAAAATAAAATAGATGGGAAAAAATAATTACTGTTTTTGAAATCTGGGTTTTAATCTGCTATCCATTAGTTCGTATCCACCTTATCACATCCACGAAGGGCAATTTCGGATTAACAAAAAAATAAGTTACCCAATAGCTATAAGTGTCTTTTTTGTAAGAATGAAACTTGAAAGTGTCTTTGAATGTAAATAACTCTTTTCTAAGTAACAAGAGAGTTTTAAATAATTTAAGTTTGATTTATATAAAAGGATCAGAGTTTGTTTCTAATATTGCCCTAAAAGTAAACCTATAAAAAATTGGAAATTGCATTAAAAACCAAAGAAAAGAAAAAGGAAATATGAGCTACATACACAGGGGAGAAAAACATATTGCCAAGAAATTGCTTACTCAAAATCAAAGTGGTCCTTAAACATATTGCCAATAAATTGTGGCCTGAGCCAAGACTCGTTCACGGGTTACAAAAAGACCAAAGTTTTTACGGTCAATACAAAATATCACTTTTTTAACTTTTTTAGAATGGCTATAACCTAGCTGTACTTCTCTCATATGTATGAATCCGACGAGCAATTTCAAGCGCTAAGACCGGATCATTATCACCTGTATCATCACGTGGAGGATTTTGACAAAATGCAGAGGAAATTGACAATTAGAAAAAGGATAACAAATTCAAAAACATGCAACTCTGGTTAGGCTGAGACTTCACCTTTTCGTTGTAGAGACAACTACACTGACAACAATGGTTCAATGACATCTCCCGAAGCAATTGTATGCCCTGTATAGCCACAAATAAATCTATAAACCACCATAATGAATATATTTTTTGCGATTGGCAAATCACTATATCAAATTACCTCCACAGCGTAGCACAAATTTTCCAAGTCGAGGGAATCTGGAGGAACTTTCCATGCAAATGGATTTTGAAACCTGCAGAGAAAGATACTTTCCATATAAAATGGTTGTAACTTGTAATTTATGAGAGAAAAGAAAAAGGAAGAAAAAGAGAGCAATGAGAAGCAGACCTCTATTAAGCACAGAGCTTCTTCCCTATTTTTCACAGACATAATCTCCTGTTCAATGACTACTCCATCTTCAAGGACTCGAATATCTATGATTTCACAGTCTTCAATAGCTTCATGGATGTGAAGACTGGCCTTGTAACCAGGAAAGAAGATACCGCAATGGGGCTCCTTAAAAAATTTTACAGACGCAAAGAACCTCGTTACAGCAGGACAGGATCTCACTGCAAACAAAATGCAAACAAAATTATGTAACCAACAATGATTTCAAATCATTACAGTATAATCTGTGATTCTGTATTAATGAAGTCGTTAATTACTCACTAGTGCACAATAATAAGGAGCCTGATGTGACATCACCTGTACGACCAGCTAGATGTATGGTCAAATTATCACCTGGTTTGGCTTGACGAACTTTCTCATCATCACAATAGAGAGCTTGAACTTTAACATATGACTATCCATGGAAGTCATCAAAGAAAATAAGAATTGGAAATTACAAGAATACAATATGATATATGAGATTATAAAGAAACTTTGAAATTACCCCATTTGGCGAAATCGTCAAGAAATCACACTCCTGAATCCTGCCACTGTTCACCCTACCAGTAACAACAGAAGAATCCAGGTCCTTGTAGTGTTCAAAAATAGACATCCTACAATTCATAAAATCAATTTATGAATGCTACAACCAATATTTGATAACAGAGAACAAACTTCCAGAGAATCACGGACTTCAAAAAGGAGGGACAGTCAGCACCTGAATGGCCCAAGAGGATCCCCTGGCGGAACAACTTCCAGAGAATCAAGGACTTCAAAAAGGGTACGGCCACTCCACCAAGAACAAACGTCTTCCATCCTCTTGTCCATGTTGATGCCAATAAGACCCGAGATGGGCAAAAAGACGACATCTACAAAAAGAGTGAAAGAGGATAAGAACCAATTAGAACTCAGCGATATGAGAAGAGGATCTCCTTCTCGCAATATAGAACGTAGTCAGATAAGTTATGGTTTTTTTTACCTTCATTTGTGTCATAGCCAACGGATTGCAGAAACGGTACTACTTTTTCTTGAATTTCATTGTACCTGTCTTCCGACCAGTTGACGGTTGGATCATCCATCTTGTTCACAACAACAATCACTTTCTCCAAACCCAAACCTTTGGCAATTAGAACATGTTCACGTGTCTGCCCAATCATCTCCACCTACACATAGAGACGTGGGTTGAGCAGTTAATAGGCTGCTGAGACATGCCCATTTTGAGCACTAAAGAATCAGAAAGACTAACATCTAAGTGACTAACCTTCCCACCCTCCTGAAATCCAGTTTCAAATTCAGGTTCTCTAGCTGAAATCACCAAGACACCAATGTCTGCCTCGTATACTCCTCTGATCATATTTGGTACAAAATCCTTGTGACCCTACAAGTTTATGAAGTATAAGAGATTAAGAATAATACTCAATATCACTAGTAAAACAAAAGAAGAAAAACACTAAACATTCAAGATTAATGCCTTACTGGAGCATCCAACATGGTAACTATACTGTTCTTAGTGTCAAAATTTGCCCTTCCAAGTTCTACTGTGCCATTACGCCTTTCATATTCATCTGTATCCATTATATATGCCAAATGACTGCACAAACAACAAGAGTAAGTTGAGAGAGCAAAAAAATTTAAACAAAAGCATTCTTTATCGAACAAACCAGTTTACATTCACCAGCTTTCTCTATTATACTCATTTGCTTTTCTCTGACATTCTTGGATTTCTTCCTCGTCCACCTGACCAGTAAGGAGGAGAATTTGTCCTAGCATGGTAGACTTTCCACCCTCTGCAAAATGTTGATACTTTTGATTAGCCATTACAAATATCAGGAAAACTGAAAGTTTATGACGGGAATACCTGAATGCCCAATTAATACAACGTTCAAGTGTCTCCTTTCGTTCTCTAGATCATCCTCATTCATGGCGACAATCTCATCACGATACATCAAGGATCCTGACATCTTAAGTGAATCTGAAACCTACGCAGAAGATGAACAAGTTAAGAAAATAAACATTCATTGACTAGATAAGAAGATGAACAAGTTGAGAAAATAAACATTCATTGACTAGTTAAGAAGATGAACAAGTTGAGAAAATAAACATTTCTATCTTCTAACTATAACTATTGCGTGCACGCAGATGAGATGAGATGCCTCAAGCGACACAAAATCCCTACCCTCGAATGATTCGCAAACTTGTATGAAGAACAGAGAAACTACCAAGAACAAAAACTCGGAATCGCGTGCAAGCAGATGAGATAAGGGGCCTCATACGACACAAAACTCCTACTCTCGAATGATTCGCAAACAAGTATGAAGAACCGAGAAACTACCAAGAACAAAAGAGCAAATTCCGAGCTAAATAGAGAGTAATGAAAGACAATCGAAGGTAAATCAACAAATAAAACGCCTCAAGGGACACGAAAACCTTACCAAAGATTGGTTCGTCAAAGGATGAAGAACTGAAAATCATCAAGAACAAAAAGCAAAATCAGTACGAGAGAGACACAGAGGGAGACGATTGAACGGAAATCGAAAACTAAGATGCCTCAAGGAACAAAAAATCTTTACCGAAGGATGATTCGTAAGAAGAATGGCGAAATCCTCAAGAACAAGAGCAAAATCCGAAGGAGAGAGAGTGATGGAAGACGGTGAGTGACTTGTAAGGGGTTTTTTTGGTGAGGAGGTTCTGCGTTTAAAGGGCATTTTAGTCTTTGTCAGCTTTTATCCAATTCCGCCAAATTATTATTAGTGGTTTGTTTAGTGTGTTAACTTAACTTTTTAGTTTGTTAGTTAAACAAAATGACTAAAACGTATTATAGGCAAAAAAAATTAGTAGCGAGGGAAAAAAAAATTACAAATAATTGGAATATCTCTCTCTCTCTTTTAAATTTAGAGTTATCTCGTGCCAAGAACAAAGATAGATTCGAGGCAAACTAATGTAAAAACTCATAACCCGAAATTAATTTTGCCCTCAAGAAGAAGCTCACAAGAAACAGAGAAAAGGGGGAAAGCACAAAAGATCTTAAGATTATGTATTTCTTAAAATTATTTCTCACCAACACTTTATAGCACTACAGAATACCCAATTGATCAATTTAATTTTCCAACTATGTTGCATTTGATGCAAACAATTCAAATACCCTTTTTTCTCAAGCAAATCAGGAAGATTTGAGGTGATTCATATATATAACACAAAGAAGAGCCTTACAAGAAAAAGAAAAAAAAAGGGGAAAAATTAAGCAGCAGAATTAAGATCTTAACATTTGAACAAATTTGTGAAGATTAGAGAGCTGGCTTACCCGTGGATTAAGGCAAAAACTGCTTGTTCTGGTCAGATAATTGGTCTCTGTGTCGTAGCTTAAAAACTTTCTTGAACCAGTCTGGTCCGTTACATCTTGGTATCATCAGCCTATCCTCCTCTTTGAATAACCTATGGAGAAACAATTCAATGGAGAAGCCCATCAGCGAGATCAGATTCACAGCTGTAACTTAAAATCCACTTAACTATTGTAAGTCTAACAGATCTAACCTGATTTATTTGAGCGGTGGCCCGAAGGATCAAAAGAATCTTCATATGCGACGGGTAAAAATGCATAGATTGATAAAAAAAATATAGAGAGGAGATGTGGTACCTTGGTCTAAAGTGGTTTGGTTTTCTGGAGGAATCCCAAAGCACAAATTTTTAGCTTGGCTCTTTGTTCTTTAACCGTTGTCCCACAAGGTATAGACTTTTGGGATGGGGACTCCAAACTGATCCATCTTGCCTCAATCACGAGCCCATCTAATCTTTAATTGTGGAGTAATTCGGAAATAATAGCAAGGAAGGTGAATTTTACTCCACATCGAATCGCGAAGCTCTCTGCAATCTCTATCTAGATCTGGGAAGAAATTGACCATCTCTCTGAAGCTCCTAGCTTGGCAAGCCACGATCTACTGCCTCTGGATTGAAAGGAACCACCGTTAATGACTTCAAATCCGGCGACAACATCATCTCCACAATGGAAAGCCTAATCAAAAACAGGGCTTCAAGCCTCAGACAGAACCGACCACCCTTTGCTTCTAAACTTTCTGCAGCTCTGGTTCCACGGCTCACCTGCCTAGACTCGGCTCCTCTCCACTCTCTCCCGTTTATTTTCATCCACATAGGGTTTTCTCTCTCACGAAGAAGATTGCATCTACAAGATTACGATAAATAAATTTGGTGGTTGGTTTGTTCGGTATTCTCTTCTGGTTCTGGTTCTGGTTCAATTTTGGTTCTGGTTTTGGGTTTAGTTTTATTTTATTTGTGCTAATCCAACTAATTTTACCATGGTTCATAATTATTTCTAGGCCTGAATTTTACGGGAAGGTAACCCGTCCCGTCCCGTATCCATCCCGAAATTCCCGAATTTTTTGGGAAAGGGAAATTATAATTTCCCATTCGGGATTGAAAATAATATTTGAATGGGTAAGGGAAAGGATAGGGACGGGAATGGGATTACCCGAACTCCCCGTTGAATAATTATATAAAGTAAAATTTTAGAGATTTCGGTTATTTGAAATTTTTTTTTATAATAAATAATGATTTTTCTAATTTATTAACAAATAATAATTTAAAAAAACACAAAAATTGATTTTAATCTAATTATCTGAATTATCCGAAATTTTTCCTGACTCTTTTCCGTTCTTTTCCCAATTATATTTTATTTTAGGATTGTATGGAAAGTATGTTTTGATTCCCGAATTTCCTGTTCCCGTCCCATACCCGTAAATTCCCCTCCTGTTATTTTGTGGGAATACTTTGGGTAGTATATTCAGATTCCCGAAATTCTCATTCCCATCCCCTACCTGTCAATTCCCGTCCTAATTCCCGAAAAATTTAGGGCTAATTATTTCTATTCTCTGTGTGTAACTTGATTTTTTGGGCTACTTAGCTCCAAAAATACAAAACTCTGGGCTAGGCCCTGTAACTTTTTTTCTCATGCTTTACCATAGAAGAATTTGTTCAAAAAAGAAAAACAGATTAGAGACGTTTTTTTTTTAATCCTCAAACAGATTAGAGACGTTTATAGGTGGCTTTATCCATACATTATATAGGGTATTCATCCTTGGGTATTCATTAAGTCTCTAGCCTGAGAAACGTCGGTTTTCGCTTGGGGTCGTGCGTGTATACAATGTAGATATCTCCTTGGTACTCTGTCATGAAACACTGATCATCACTAATTTCAAAGAGTTTAGGAGGCGGTTTAAAAAGAACGTTCCATGACTTCGTATAGAGATCGAACATCCCTAAGCAACCTATCTTGCTGAGACAAATAGAAGACTCCACTGGAGAAAACTACATGTTGGAAACCTTTGTGTGTAAGTGGTAGCTGATTCATTAATGTAAAATTACTCCACTTTTTAGTGGTGGGGCGATATGTTTTGATACTGATGAATGTCATGGTGAAATCAGTGACCGCCAATAACACACAAGTACTCGATGTAGGAGCACATGAGAAATGAGAATTGCATCTGCGGCACACAAAAGAGGCCAAGCCACTTCAATACGCTCATGTTGTGTAAACAGATTGACAAGGAAGTTTTTAGTGAGATTTCTTCCTTGCATGAGTAACCAACTATCACTGGAATAACGTATCTCTGAACCGTGGGAAACTTAACAACATGTGTTTTACCGAGTGATGTTAATATAAGCTCATATGAATCTTTGAATATGGGCTAATGGGGATGAACATAACCCACGGGTCTTCTACCCGGACCAGAGCCTTGTGCCATGTCTTGCACACAACGGAAGCACGAATGTTGTCTTTCAACGACATGCGTTGCATTATCAGTAACGTGAGATCAAAGGGAAGGTTTGACCAAATTTTGTTACTTTTTTCTGCCTCCGCACTATTCTTCTGCTTCATCAATCATCATCGACCTTGTATGAACCATGGATATAGGTTTAAATTATCGGAGATTTATAATGTAGTGAGCTTTGTCGGATACAAAAAAAAAGGAATTCCTTTTTTGAAGATGCTTAGGAACAAGAAACATCTCAATTTCCTTTTTATACATTTCAATTAAATCACGTTCTCGATGAGATTAAAGAAAGAATATATTAAATCATGGTTTAGGGTTTTATCTAACGGGTGCAAATAAATTATTAATCAAACTAAATAAGTACCAACATTCAAAAGTCAAAACTTGGTCAAAATTCAGTTTATATTCAGATACTGTATAATAGATTAATATCCAAACCCGATCAAATGAATTTCCAAATTAGGAAGACCTTACTTTTTCTTGTTTTTTGACCCCAAAAAGAGAAAGAAAAAAAATAAAGAAGACACTCACACAGAACAAAGATGATCAATGAGCTTGAGCTTGAGACGAAGATTTTGTTTCTATGCACGAGACTTTTTTAATCCCAAACCACCAATCTTTGCACCTTTCGCAAACATTGGTATACTATAACCATTCAAGAGAAAGGCGTGAGCTATCTAGGAGAAAATGTTATGCTCTGAGACCAGTTGTTCAATCATCGTCACTCTCGTCTTGATTGCTTGGATGATTATTTTTCTGAGCTTGAAACATCTCAGCAATCTGAAAATAGGAAAAGGGTTAAGAAATTTAAAACCAGCCTAGTGATCTTGTCATTTCAAAATATAAATGTTTATAGGATGAGACTTCACCTGCTTAGATGACGTAGCCTCCTTTGGCTTCTTATCTTTCCGCACACGGATTAGACGAGGAAAACGTAGAGAAATTCCCTTTTTACCAAAACAAAATTGGACCAGTCAATATATATCATCACATATATAAATTCAAACCCCAAAAGAAAGGCAAATAAGTAAAACCTTATCAGGGACCACAATGCCTATGGCTGCACCATACTTAGGGCTAATTGTCAAGTCAGCTCCTTTCACTTCCCATACCTTTAAGCAAAAGCATCAGCAAAACACACTTTTGACCCATAAGATTTTTGCAGATAGTAATACAAGCAAAGCAAAACATAATCCTACCTCAGTGGGCTCGAACCAAACATGTGGTTTGTCGCTGTCACCAACACGATAGTCATGCTGGATAGTTTGACACATTGCAAACAACAAGAACTCAGTCAAGATACATATATGACACTGAAAAGGTCCAAGAGAAGAACGAAGAACGAAATATCCTACTTGTGGTTTGGCAATCATATGAGAGGAAAGAAGAGAATACAGCTCTTTAAGCTCGGCTTCAGAAAATCCAGTACCTAGTAGCCCAAACCGTATAATTAAGATATTGAACACAGACCATACAAGAAAATGTTAATGCATATATAACACTGACCTATTTTACAAATGCTCTGAAACTCTTCCTTTTTCTTGTCGTAGCAAGCTAATAAAAATGAGCCAAATAAACCTACAAAAGGAAATCATACCGATTTTTTAACAACATAACAAAAGGGTCAAAAAGTATACATTTTGATTGGGTTTGTTTTCACCTGCACGTTTGCCTTTGCCGTGAAAAGCACCAATTGGTACAAGATCAACAGAATCCCCAATGCTGCATAAATATATATAACCTTAAGAGGCAGACATTAAAATACTCCTCTATCTTTCGATTTATACTTCACAAAATTGTTGAAGAAGAGTATTATTTGCCTGTCCATATAGTCTTTCTTCAGTTTTAGCCAAATGCTTTTTCCAGGCTCATAGGTTGCATCCGAGTTCAAAGTCTTAATGACCAAACCTTCACAGCTGCAAAAATAACATTATATGGATCAAGAACTGAAACCTATCATAAAGATTACAAGAAGATACAGAGAACTGTTAGAAATATATACCCGATGTCAACAGAAGCTTCGAAAAACTCTTCTATATCATCTGTATCGCTCGATGTTAGAGCAGTTACAAACTGGAAATACCCAAGATCTTCCTCAAATGAATTGTATAGCTTCTGCTTGAATACAAATGATTATATAACAGTTGCTTTTAAAATAAAACCAAAGATATCAGAATTTACTGATATATATATATATGTCTAACCTCTCGGCGAATATCAAGATTCTCTTGGATAAGTTGTTGGCAATTTAAATATAACATGTCAAAAGCAAAGATGCATACGCCAACCTTGATATCACTCACTTTCACATTTTTACGCGCTCGAGTGCTCAAAATCTTGAAAAACAAGAATCAAGAAACATAATAAGCTAGACACTCTGAATATCAGAACCTCTCTATTCGCTACAATGAGTTACCTGAAAGGGAAGAATTTTCTTTTCCTCTCTGTCGAAAGCAACAACCTCGCAATCCAGAATAAAAGATTTCACAGAGGCCTTCTTTGATCTGCACAGAGAAGATTACAGTAGATTCAGTAGAAAGAAAAGACTCTCTCTTTCTAATCTTTTCAACAAAGTTACACTCACAAGTCTACCTTTTGAACGCACGAGCAACATCAGGGTACTTGCCAGTACTTCTTTCACCATTTCTACTGTATATCTCGAATATACCATCCTCCATATAATGTATCTGCAGTGTCAAAAACATAAAAGGTCTGTTTTCGGAATAAATATTCATCAGGTTTTTGAAGAATACACCAATACATCATCACCTGCACACGTTCACCATCATATTTGTATTCGCAAGTGAAAACGGTGCCCTCGAAGTTATTGAGTATCTGATCTATACTTTTAATTACTTTCACAAGCATGGGTCTAATTGGAACACCAAGTGTTAAGTTACAAGTTTTGGTAAGATTCCACACACCACCGGTTAGAAGAGCATGAACAATCATGTCGTAGACAGGAAGCACACTGTATACTCTTTTAACAATCTTCGCAGCCTACACAAGGATGGATCTATTGTAAGTCACAGAGCTCATAAAGAATAGATTTTGATACAAGAAAATGAAAGAGACGAGAGAGAGAAAGTGAAACCTCTTCTAAAGGAGACTTGATATTTGGTGGTGGCTTTGAGTGCTCTTCATTATACACAGCGGCTTGTCCCAATGCAGCTAAGACAATCTTACCCGAGAACCCTAACCGTAGATTTCCCTGCAGGGTTTCGAATAAGGAACCTCAAATAGGAATGAACAGAAGCAAAAAATTGTGAACGAGCCTGTACATACCTCAAGTAAACGAGTTAAGTAAAGAGTTTCACAGTCTGTTGTTTCAACAAGAAGTCCTGTAATCCGATTCTTCTTATTTCTCTGACTATCTTTTCCACTTTCCTGTGATAATAGTCCCACTCCTAATCAATCAAAGCCTAACCAAAACATAACAGAGTAAGGGCTTTGTAATATACCTTAGCGATTTGTCGAAATGTATCAAAAACCTTGACAATAGTCAAAGGTTTAGGCTTGAAGTTGAAAACCGTAGCTTGAGAGGAACGGCTTTCTGTTACTAAAAGCCACAAGTCTGCTAGTTCCTATACAATTCGACAAGTGACACAGTAAACAACAACAAGAAAGAAAAAATTTCAGAACTTTATAAGCAAGCAAGCACATTCAACATACCGTTTTCAGAAGCTGCTCAACTTGAGCATCTGATCTATTAAAAGCTTCGGAGATTGCCTTTGTAATGGAACTTTTAACGATACCCAATTCAACACCTTCATGAACAGGAGCGATCTCATTCGCAGCGAGATAAACCGTAGCGATCAGATTTTCAGGAGTCGTGGCGATCACGGTTCTCAACATGTTACACAGGACATCAGTGATCACAATCCGACCACTTTTTCTGTTGTTTTCGATTGAAATCAGATCAAAAACCAAACAGAGAAACATAAACGGAACTCTCTCTCCTTTCTCCCACCAAGCCACTGATTCAGGATCGAAACTATCGGGATTACTCTTCAGAAACCCGATTCTGTTCTTCAGTTCAGCGATTTTGATCAAAGCCCTAGACTTTGAGTCTTCAACAGTAGATAAAGAATCCGATTTGGGTTTTACGGAATCAGAAACAGGTTTCGAAACAAGGGTTTTGTCCGAACCGGCGGTTCGGGTTTCGCCGAGTTTCCTTTTCTTCGGCGAGCTTGACGAAGTGGAGGTCGTCGTCTTCTTCTTGGCGGATGCGGCTCGAGCATTGGACATGAGAACGTGATGTGCAGAGGGGCGAGATGGCTCCATTGGCTCTCTGTGGCACGAGCTAAGGAGTAAAGTTGGGAACTTGACGGAGAAGAATGGAGAAATTAGGGTTTTTGATTACAGAGAGATACAAAAGTAAGCATCGGAAGCAGTGTGTTCTGTTTCTATAGTGCTCTGTTTTTATGCTCTACTAAGCTTCTCGTGGAAGCTTCATTTTCGAATATATTAATAGAATTATAATTAATTAATTTCTTTGTCAATTGACAAATCTTATTATATACATTCAAGATGAGATAAAGTACTTCAATGTTGGAGAATAAGTATTTGGATTTTCAATATGAAATCATTCTTCTCGAACAATGTAACATCCCGGGTATATATAGAAAGGCTTATAAAAATTGAATTGATTATCTATTTTATTAAAGTTCATTTATCTTTTCTTTTGATTTTGAGAGAGCTCCAGAGTTAAATGTGCTTAAAGCTGAACAACTCTCGAATAGATGACCTACCGAAAACTAATTCGCGGTACCGTATGAATAAAGACAAACGCACGAAAAAAAATCATATGATGATTGTAGGGATAATAAACAAGTTTTACGAGCCTCCCAAAATAACACACCGACCATCAGACAGTGGTGGCCCAACAGGCCTAGAAAGAAGACGCTAGGCCAACGGACCTAGAGAAAAGACATTGGATTCATTGGAAAGAATATGTTCAAAATTAATAGCCGATCCAGATGAAATGTGGGATTAGAATCTCACTATAAATGATCGATCCGTCTGATTCCCAGAAAGGAAGGCGGGATCGGGATCTCATAAATGAGATCACTAAAATTTTTATTGGCATCTACGATTTGATTTGCGATATTAAAACTTGCAGGCAATTAACATAATTACTTCTAATATTCTGAAATTAGAGGTTATACCTCAAATGGTGACCAATGATGAAGCCTATCAACCGCCCAAAACAACTGATGCAAGGCCTTAACGGAAAATTATTTGTGCAGAAATTAAATTTTGGGCTGTGTTTTTAAAACCGGATAGGTAATCCAACCGAAAAAGCTCTAAGATTATGAGTTAATATGATTCGACTAGGTTCAAGTGGGTTTGATTGTTAATTAAATATTAAATAAAATTCTTCAATAATTATATTGTTTGTAAAAATTTTATCAAACAACAATCAATCAACGTAAAAAGGAAAAAAAGAAAAAATAATAATGATTTAAATTGAGTTCGGTTTTTTGGCAGTTCAATCCAGTTTTCTACCGGTCTAACCTTCTGTGGGTTTTAGTATAAATTCAAACCGACTAAATTTCTGGTTTGCAGTTTAATCTGGTCAGACCGCCAGTCCGGTCCGATCCAATTTTAAAAACACAGAATTTGGGTTTAGGCTGAACTTTCTTTTTGTCTACTAATGGTTGAACCTGTTATCTGACCGTCAAATTTTACGGTTTATTATTAGACCAATTTTGAGGTCACAAATTTTAGAAGAGATCTGTTACCATTTTTCAGCAAACTATTTCATTAATATCTAAAAAATGGTTACAAAGTCGATATATAAAACATTCGAACATGGGATCCCTTTGGATTACCCTTTCACCCAACTAGGTGACTACTCAGACATGGCTGAGGTAGACATCATCATCGGTTTAGAACTAAGAATAAGAAAAGTAAAAGAAACAAAGTTGCAGAAAAACTTCTCTTATTGAAGACAGTATGGCGATGGAGAGCTTCTAAAAATGCATAAAAATAAAATCTATAACTATGAATGAGTTCTCTTTCAAAGAGAAGAAAGAGGCTCTCTTACAAAAGACCTAAAAATGAGTATTTATAGTGTTTCTCTAAGTCTTGGGCATCTAGGACTTGTAAAATGGGTGCAGGAAGTGTCTTGGGTCTTAGTTGGGTTCCTGGGGTTCGGACATAGGTCCACCGGGGGTGAAACCTCCTGAGCCGCGGTGGGAAGAAGGCTGGCCGCGGGTGAAAGCACTTGTGCTTGACTGGGCTTGTGTTGATTGGCCTTCAGTGCATTGATGATATTTTCAGATCTAACCGTTTGATTGCTTTGATTCCAAGTGTGTTGGAAAGCTGGTTATCTCCAAATTTGGGGATGATCAGACGGTGAGAAAGTCTTCTTTGGTTGCCAAACTTCTGACGACCTAAATTTATCCAAAAATGTACTTTTGCTCCAAAATGTACTCCAAAGTCCCAAGTTTCCTGAAAAGCCTTTTAAAACTCCAAAACATAGAAAACACTTATAAAACCTTTAAAACTGAGTAAAAACACCTGCATAAGATATTGAAAGTGATTCATAAATTAAAAGTGGTCAAAATCAGGTGTTATCAACTCCCCCAGACTTAACCTTTGTTTGTCCTCAAACAAAACCAAAGATCTAAACCTGGAAAAGAGGTTTGAAAATCGCAGGAACTAACAAAATCTCAGAGACCATGCTTCTAAACTAGAGTTAGTCATTATGCTCAAATCAAGGATAGTCTAGAAAATTTTCACCAAAGCACAAGCATAACTAGTCGATTGATCCGTCATGCAAAAGTCTACACACTTAAACCTATCCTCTAGTCAACTAGCTCTTAACATTTATTTATAAGTTCCAGTGTTCTCATCAAAAGAAGTTTAGCAAGGCAATCAAGGCTAGGCATTCAAAATGGCTGTTTAGAAGGTGAGGCTTTTAGTGTTTAGGGTTACCTTTTCTGGAGAGACAAGATATTATGCAAAACAGCAAGAGAGGGTGGAGCTGTTGATATCCACAGTTTCCAGTCACATTCTTCTTGCTTTAAGATTCTTGATCTCCCTTCTTCAGGTTCTTCTCATAACTCCCCCAGACTTAGATTTTTGTCCAGGTTTAAAAACCAATGCTCACAAATGAATACTTGCAGGCTTTGCTTCAAACAATTTTCCACTACCTTAGACTCATTAGGCTTTTAGTTTCCTTTCCTTTCATTCTTTTTCCTCTTTTTCGATTTTTTTTTTTTTTTTTTTTTTTTTTAGAAAAGGGAAACCACCTTTGGATTGAGAGTCTTAGGAAGCACAAAATTTATCTTTAAATTCAAGCTTTTTGAGGCACCATCGAGCTTTGATAGGATTGCTGATACTCCTCTTTCCCAAATTTCTTCAGTCCTTCTCTAGAGTGACTGAAAACCATGTTGTTCCTCCCTCTCCGGCGTTTTTGCGAATATCTGCCAAAAGAGCTAAAGAGAGAATGCATGAAGTTTGAAATAATGGTTCTGGGTAAAGGGTGTGTTACCAGCTAAAGATGAACTGGCCATCTAGGACAACAAAGAGTGGTAATAATGATGTAAAGATATCCTAGATGTGTATCATGATGTCTGCTAAAACCAATGATGAAAAAATTAGATGTCAAGATTATGTTCAAGTAAAATGAACTAGTCTATCATGTCAGGACAAGTCTCCATGAATAGAAGTTCTCTGGTGGGAGTTCGTAGTGCAAGTACTTTAGCTACCGCCTAGTCTTGTACTAACCACAAAGAAACTAGCATGAAAAGTCTAGAAGCACATGGGTCTTACTCATCATAGTTTTGTGTCAAACATTCCTGAAAAATATTCAAGGTCTTTTAATAAGCATAGAAAATTTTAAAAATTGCAGAAAAATATTAGAAACAAAGAAAAATAGATTAGTACGGATAGACATCCTTCCCCAGACTTAAATCACACTGTCCCCAGTGTGAAAAAGTTGGTGAGAAGATGGTGAAATAAAAGCAAAAGAGTCTAAAATAAAAGAAAAAAAATGGTGATAGAACCGTGGGCATGATGTGGTGATGGATAGGCGCCTATGTCTCATGGCTGTCATCTATCTCTGTAGATGAGGAGTCATCAGACCAGCGGATCTTTGGTAGTTTCTTCATGCGCCTGTTGATCTTCTCTTGCTGATCAAGCTTCTTCTTCAAAGCTGCAAAGTCTGCATCACTCCTAGTGGATGCTCTGAAATGAGAAGAACTGGCTCTGAATGAGGATGGTGCATGGTGTAGTCTCCTGATGTTTGCAGCTACCTCTCTCTTAGCTTTTGCAGCCAGAAATTGCTTCATGGTCAGAGGTCATAGTGGCAAAGATGGTAGGAAGTCGCTAGTCTCAGGTTTCCATCCTGGGTCTAAACCATCTCGGAGACGGGGCATTGAATCCGATGGAAGTAGTACCTTGTACTCGGTGGAGCTGGTGGAGAACTTGTAAGCAAATCTAATTGGGTTCATCTTGGCCCTGATGATAGTCCTGTCTCTAGAGAACTGAGAAAGATTAAACCAATCCTCTCTAAGAGGTGTCTCAACTGAAAAATCGACTCCTGCTGCTAACATAAGTGAAGTGATGATGCTCCCAAAAGCTGGTGAGTAGTCTTGACAATCAGATGTAAGCATCTCATGCTTAACTTTCACTAGGTTCGTTGCAATGATACAAGCAAAGCAAGGAAACCTGGGGTGATCTACGAATGGTAGCTGTAGTGTCACCAACTCTGGCTTAAGGACATTCGCTTGATTGGCTCGTGAAAACACAGTGTGTGTTATTAGCTTATGAACATAGCGAACAGCAGGATGAGAGAGTAATGATGCCTTGGACCTTCCTTTGTCATAAACTCCATAACCCATCAGCTTCCAAAGATCCTCATCTGGATCCTTCTCCAATGCAATCTCATCACAATAAGGCAACTTCAAATCATCACATATCTCTAAGATGGTAAGATAGTAAGGATGACCTCCAATAGAGAATGAGAGTGAGCCATCTAGAGCTCTAGGAGTAGTTTTCTTCTTGTAGCTCAAAGTTGCTGATGCAAGGAACTCCTTGGTGTGGTTCTCATAGATCTGAAAGTTCTTCTCCATGAATGATCTCATTCCAAGCCTATCAAGATACCATATCACATCTTCTCTGATTCCAAGCATCTCAAGAGTTGAGTAGTCAATTGCTGGAGTTGGCTTGATCTTCAGCTTCTCAAGCTGTGGCAAGCAATCGATGTCTAGGTCAATGGCTTTACCAACAAACTTCACTTTCGGCTTAGAGGAAGGCTTGACTCTTCTTGGGAAAGATAGCTGAGTGGAGGTCTGCTCAATCTTTCCTGAAAAGATTCTTCTTTGCGAAGTAATGAAGGTGGATAGAGGCTCATACTCAGTTGTGTCTCGTTCAATGCATCATATGTCTCCTGCGAATGGGGCTTTTTTGCATGAGAGCTCTTCTTGGTTCGAATCAGTCAAACTTGAGAGAGATCCATGACCTGCAAAAACGAGATTCTTGAGACAAAGGATAAATCAAGCTGCTTTGGTATCAATTTTTATGAACAAGGTGTTTATAGAGAAATCACAAACACATTATCATGACAAACAAGCTGTAAATGCATCAAACATTACAAAATCTGAGAATTTCTGGTCAAGTACGATATACTGATGTTCAACACATGAAATTTCTAAATCAGGATGATGTTTTATGCTCACTCACATGTAATCTAATCCATTTTTCTATCAACAAGAACCAAACAATCCAGATTTGCAAAGCTGAACCAAACAGATCTCCAAATTTCGATTTTTTTAAAGTTCAAATCTCTGATTTTCGAAAATTTCAAATCTATATGGTCTAAGTGTTTAATCATGCAATTAAACTACCCAGTAGTCTAGCCTTAAGTTCAAAGACAGTTTCCAATCATCCTAAGGTGAATTTCTACTCATTCTAAGAAAACCCTAAATCTGAGTTCTTAAGAAAAAGGTGAGAAATTTGAGCTCATACCTTGATGAAAGTGTTATGTGATGATAGATTTGAAATCTCCTTTGAAAAAGAGTGAGATATGTTCAAAAATTTAGAAAGGATTTGTCAAGTTTGAAATCTGTCTTTTTCTCTAGATGACCAAGCTTGTTGGGGGAGATGAAGAGAAAAGACCTTTTTGATCTTTTAAATCCTCTTTTTATTTTAAAAAGGTGTTTATCCTAAGAAAAATTTTATTTTCAAAAGTTTAGAAGACTTACTTGGCGTGTTTAACACGGAAATTATGCTTCGGGAACTTCCTGGTTAAATCCCGGAATGAAACGGGGAATTGAAGTTCCGATTTACGGGAAACAGGGAAAATTCGCCTGGGAGCCAGAACAGGGACGGCCGCGGGCCAGGCGTGCCCGCCCGCGGTAAAGACGAGTCGGGCCGCGGCTGAAGTGCGCGGGCCGCGGTAAACGATGGGTCGGCCGCGGCTGAGTTGATCGCGGCTGAGTTGATCGCGGCCGCAGAAAATGCTTCTGGGAGTTCCCGGTTTCTCTCGTTTTCCTGCTTTCTCCTCCTATCTTTTTGTATTTTCTGTTTTTTTGAATGTTTTTGGTTTTTTTGTGTTTTATTAAAGCCTGAAATGCATAAAAAGAAAAGAAATCAAATAGAAAAGAAATAAAAAGAAAAGAAAATCATACCAAATGGGTTGCCTCCCATTAAGCGTTTTTGTTTAAAGTCTTTTAGTTAGACTCTTGGCAGGATTAGGATTCAGAAGAAGAGTCAGGACCTCTTGAATTAAGAGTCCTTGTGGTCCTTCTTAGCCTGAACATTGGATTTCCTTCATCTTGAATCAAAATCTCTTTTCCTTTCTTAAGGATTTTTGCATCCTTGAGGACATATTTTGTTTTCTCAACAATTCCTCCAAGATTTTTCTCCTTTTCCTTGCTGCTGTCTGGTGGCACCACTATCTTGATGTTCCCAAATTGCCTAGATTCAACTGCTTTTAGTTCCTTCTTGTCCTCCAACACCTTCTCCTTGTCCTTGTCTTTTTTATTTGGAGCTTGGTCTGGTGTGGTCTTATAGAACTTTCTCCTGTCCACATTTAAGAAAACTAAACAGCGATTTGCATGGTCAATAACAGCACCTACAGTGGCTAAGAATGGGCAACCAAATATCAAAGGTCTGTCTTTGTCCTTGTCCATCTCAAGGACTTAAAAATCGGTTGGGATTGTTTTGTTTCCAATGATCAGTGGCAAGTCTTGGATAATTCCTTTTGTTCTCTTTTGAGATGAATCACCAAAGATTATCCTTACTGGAGATGGGACAAATGTACCTATACCAAGTTTCTCAGCAACAGATTTTGACATGACATTCACATTAGCACCAGAATCACATAAACAATCTGAAAATTCAATTCCAAAGATTGAACAGGTGAATGAGAAACGCCCTGGATCCTTAGACTTTTTGAGTCTTTGGTCAGGCAAGCATTTGGGTACCTTAACTGGAATGACTCGGCTTCTCTCATGCTCGGTTTCAGAGTCCTTTATGAGAGGTTCAGGCGTCAATCTCCCCATAGAGTCTACGACAGGTTCTTCCTCCAAAACTGTTGTCATAGCATTACAGAACTTCATTGGGTTATCTTCTACTCTCTCTGGTAAAACTCCTGGTTGTCTCTTCATTGAATCTGCAGTTTGACCTATCTGATGTTCCAACTTCTTGACATGGGTCGCAAGAGATTCGAACTTCCCATTTAAATCAGTGTAGATAGAATCGATCTTCACCCCCATTTCCCTGAATGAATTCTCAAATTCTCATTGCCTTGAGTAGTCTGCATCATAGTTTGTTCAAGCGATTTTACCTGATTACTTAGCTGGGAAAGGGTTGCTTCTAATCTGTGCTTGTTGAGGATTGAATGCTGGTCTTTGTTGGAAGTTCCCTCCTCCATAGTTTGCACCTTGAAACTTGTTTTGAAAACTCCTTTGCTGTTGTGGATAGGGCTGATTTTTGGCTCCTTGATTTCTGTATGAGAGATTGTTGAAGTTGGCACCAGAGTTCCTAAAATTGTTGTTGAAAGTTGGACTAAATTGATTATGATATGCCTGGGCTCCCATAAAATTGATTTCTTCCTCTTGGTATATGCCATCGTCTGCATATCTTCCATCTTCCTCATTTCCTACAGCAATATCACAAGCATGTATATTCTTGTTTTGAGACTTAAGAAGTTGACTTACCATGCTTTTTAGCTCAGCAATCTCCCTTGATTCATGACTAGTGATAGTCTTCTTTGATCTGTCATACTCGGGGTTGTTGTTGCAGTTAGCTACAGCCAGATTTTCGATGAGTGTTATCCCTTGTGGTATGGTTTTTGAACTGAAATCTCCATTGCTGGCAGTGTCAAGAGAAAGTTGATACTTCTGCTGAAGTCCTCTGTAGAAGGTACTTAAGCAGGTTTGCTCCAGAGAAACCATGATAAGGGCAGTCTCTCTCATACTCCTTGAATCGCTCCCAGGCTTCATAGAATGATTTTATTGGGCCTTGTTGGAAACTTTGTATCTTGTTTCTCAGCTGGTTCGATCTTGACTTGGTGTAGAAGTGGTTCAGGAAAGCTGACTTGCATTCTTCCCATGAAGTAATAGAACCAGATGGCATAGATTTCAACTATCTAAAAGCTTTATCACTTAGAGAGAAAGGAAAAAGCTTACACTTCACAAAGTCCACAGTTTCTGGAGTTGTTCTCACCATTCCAGAGATTTCTTCAAAAAGATCAATGTGATCCATTGGATGCTCAGTAGAGATTCCATGGAATTGGTTCTGCTTCACCAAAGAGACAATTTGAGGTTTTATCTCATGATTTTCTCTTGGAACAAGGATTTAAATAGTTGATCGATTTTGAAAGTGTTGGTGAGGTGCATCGAAATTGGCAATGAGTCTGTTCCAATGCTGTCTTCTCGCCGGATTGGCAAGCTGTATTGGTCGATTGGCTTCTCTAACAACTGGTGGAACAATGTTTTCATCATTCCTTCTTCCTTCAGCATCGGCCTGGTCTTGTCTCCTTTGGTTTTCAGCGGCTTGAGCAGGATGAAGAGGGACTCGGTTTCCCTCTTCATCGAGTTGTGGCTGTCCATCTTTTTCATGAACAGCATCTAGGTCATCACCATGAACTGAATCACGGTCATTATCTCCAATGTGATCCTCCTGATCACGGTTTAAAAGATTTTCCCGATGGGCATTAGGATTGGCCATCTTGAGCGTTTTTCGTCTGAGTTTCCTAAGTGCTCTTTCGTGTTTGTCAATCTCGTCTAAGGGCAATACGATTTCGTCAGGATCTCTCCTAGTTTTCATGCACCTGTGAGCAAAG